AGGGGCTGTGTCCAGCAGGAGAGCCATGGAGAGAGAGGCCTTGCTCCCGAGATGGAACAGCCTGGCCTTGGGCCTGCACCCAGGGGACGAGGGACCCCACGGTGCAGCAGTTTTGGGATGACTGTCTGCCCGTGGGGGGACTCACGCTGCAGCAGATGTGTGTGGACTGCTGCTCGTGAGAGTGGAGCCACGCCGGAGAGGTTCATCGAGAACTGTCTCCCGTGGGAGGGACCCCACGGCAACGCAAGGGAAGGACTCCTCTCCCTCAGCAGCTGCAGATCAATCCGGTGATGAACTGACCAACCCCACACCCTGAGCTGACCAACCCCACACCCTGAACTGACCAACCCCACACCCTGAACTGACCAACCCCACACCCTGAACTGGCCAACCCCACACCCTGAACTGGCCAACCCCACACCCTGAACTGGCCAACCCCACACCCTGTTCACCCCCCCTGCTTTGTACTGTCGGTGGGAAGCGGGGAGGAAGTGGGGAGAAAATCGGTGTCTTTGAGGGTTTTATTTTATTTCTCATTCTCCTCCTCTGACTTKGTTAGTAATAAATTCACTTCATAMTTTAAGAAGCGCCTGTTTTGTCCGTCAAGCGTTTCCTCCCTGCTCCTTATCTCAATTCATGAGCCCTTTTGTTAATTTTTTTTTTCTCTTCATTCTTCTCTGCCCAGTGGTGATGTGGGAGAACGAGTGAGCAGGTGTTGTGGGTGCYTGGCTTTCAGCCAGCATTCTAAACCATGACAGGGGGATAGGTCTGGATGGTTTCACACACACTGTGTTGAGTTTCCTGGGTCTCACTCTAATTCTAACTGTGCATCTCCAACATCTCATGTCTCTTTCTTGAAGACTATAGAAAATCTAAACATTTCAATGCTTGCTGMTTTGATACCTAAACTCACATTATTATATTATTATACCTATTATTATAGATATTTAACCTCACRTGTTTTCTTTACAGCTTATTTCTACATATTTTTAAGATACAAACTGTAAATTATTTGCATCACTTTTTGAATTAAGCTTCACAATAGGCAGCAGTGCATGTATAAAGCAATGTACCACATACCCTTTGGAAGCAGAGGTTATTAACGGAACARTCACTCAGATGTCTGAAGAAGATTAAACTAAGACAGAAAATRTGGACAAATCTGCCATAAACATAACAACCTTTTAACCACATACTGAATGTCAGGCAGCTGCAAGAGGGGGTTGCTCTGTAAAATCAGCTGAGCTGGCAGCCAAGGGTGACAGTGYAGTTGGTAGGGCAGTGCCATCTCTGACACAGCCCCATCCCACAGCACCCTAACCAGCAAAGCAGGTCTGGTGGTAGTGACCACGTTCAACCATGAGTCCAGATCATCAGACCAGTCCAAAGGTTGATTCAATGGTCAGGCTCAGGACTGGTGGGTTTATGGCCAGGCAGAAGCACACTGTCCATGCAGTTCCAAGAAGAAGCTGGGGCAATAGCTGGGGCTGAAATGCAGCTCCTACACCAACAGGATTAGGGTCCCATTGAAATACCTTACAGTTCTGTCCCACCCAGCTGTCTGAGCCAAGGTCACAGGAGAGGTAGCCTTGAGTGCAGCAGCCACCAGAAGAAAGTCCACTTACCACTAGGAACAAGCGGCTGCTGGGTCTCTAGTGTCCTGACACTGATCCAGAAATACACTTGCTAGCAGGTTAACTCAGGGAATGTGACAACAGCCCAAGTAGTTGAGCATTTGAGATGTAAAAGCTGTGAGCTTGGACTTCCTTCGGCTGAAAGATGCAGATCTTCCTCTTCCTGGGGGAGGCCTCCAATTGGTTGTGTTTAAAAAGAAAAAAGTTCTCTGCAAACAGAGGTGTTAATGCCTGCCCTCAACTGAGGATCCAGAGTCTCACAATGACTCCTGCCTKGCAATCTTGATTTACTGAAAAGTAAGGCTTGGGGAGGTAGTGGGAAAAGGGGGAAATTCAGATATACTGCAGAGTTTTTCTGCAGTATAATTCACTGATTTTGATACATTTTTATCTGGCTTCTAATTGGCTTCTTTCTCTCACAGACTTGAACTTGGAGTCTTTTATCAGTGCAAGTGCCTAGAATCGGACATTGATATCCCAGAAATCTTCTGCAGGAGCTGAGTGAGCTTTACTGTAATATACAGTGCCTTCTATGCTGGGTGGTTCTTGTCCTCATTACAGACTAGATGCAGGATATGGACTTTAATTTACTCTCCATCAGACTTATCCTAAGKTATTTTAACACTGGAAAGACTGATTTATTTCACAGGTGAATATATATAYTGATAATTACACCTTTCCTCCTCCGTCTGGCTAATTCATATGGCTTAACTATCCCTCAGTGATGCTAAAGACTTCTGCAGGAGTGAGGGAGGAGCTGCCATTCAGGTTCTTCACTACCACCCTGACTGGAATGTCTGCTCCTCAGTCACCAGCTGACCTTTGCCTTAAAGCGTGATGCACTTCGCAAAGGTACAACAGGGCTGGTCCTCCGTAGTTTGATTTTTGTTTGCCATGGAAAGGCTGGTTTGTTTGCTTTGCACTTAAGGCCTACAGTTTATTCAGGACTGTAAAACTCTTCAAAATCACACATAAGTAAATAAGTGAAAAACAAGCAATGTTGAAAATTCGTCTGCTTAGATGGGAGGGACTACTATTTCTTAAAACAGCATGTACTTATTAGACTTCATTTTACAGCAGAAAAATATATCTTCCACCCTCCAAATAGCTTCTGTGAGATGATAAAATCCTCAACATTTTAAAAAAGCAAGTTTGATGTCTGTGTTTAAAAAGTACTGTGCCTGACTTTCTACTTCAGGCTGTTGTTCATGACAACAGAAGATAATGAGGTCAGTGTTTAAACTGAAAGTCCCAGTTTAACTTTTAGTATTGTGTACTGCTTAATTTGGAACTATTGAATCATAAACTATGATAGGTAAATGGCACAACATTAAAGAAATTAATTCCATAGTTTAGAGTTTCCTGTCCTGGTCCCTATGGGCCAGTCCTGAAGTCCTTGCTCATTTCCTTACTCCTGAGTCATCAAAGTGTTTAAACACTCTAGATTTCAGTGGGGTTTTGARCATATGCTAGTTGATTTAACACCCTTAAGCAGAGAAAATCTTCAGTAAAGTCAGTAGGAATTTTTTTTTCCCTAAAGACCTACAGTTTCAGTCTTTTGTTTGTTTGTTTTTTAAATCTTGCACTTGAGTCCACACAACTTGAAATTAAGAATTTATGTGTTTGGTAGTTGTTGCTACGCGTCACTCTCTGGCCAAACCAGTTCTTTCACTTTGGCTATTTAATCGCTGGTTAGTAATATTAGTGGCAAGAGGAATTTAACAGATGGGCTAGTGCTGGCGTAGATGGAGACTTGTTGAGAAGGTTATAATAATTTGTATCAGGTTCTACTTCACATTGTATTTAAACACCCAGAAGAAAGGCACATTTTTTCTTTATCCACYCCTGAGCTACCATTAGAACATCTTTAACCATTTAAACATCTTGAAGTATAGCGTAGCCTTATTCTCCATCATTGCTTAGGTGGAAGCAAAATTTATTGGGGGRAAAAAATGGAAGTGTGTTGTAAAACACTTGGAGAAAACAGAATGGAGAATACATAGGGGAATGATTCCTTAAATATTACATGTATAGCTGCTATACAGCAACTTGGTCTGCTGCACTGTTACAAGATTTAGTGAGTATGTAGWGAGCAATGAATTCTACTGAAACTGTGTTAACATAGGGGTTCTTAACAGGCTTATGACACCAATTTCTTCTAGATTCCTTTGATACAAGCCTGTTTGATAAATGTCTTACAAGCTAAATCTTTGGGAGCCTTTTAGAGGCCAATGAGACAAGACGGTGTGTGCCGGCAGTTTTAACTTGGCTCCCTGC